TGATGCTTTTGCTCTTCGAAGCTCATTTTCTAGAGAAATATTCCGCTCTTCACAACGTTCCAAGGTCAGCTTTATATTTTCAGCATGCTGAGCCTCATCTTCTGATTGCATACGAAAATTCTTGATTTCGTTTGACAATGATCCCGCTCTATTCTTTGCAGCCTGCAGATGAGCTTCGAGTTCGTGCTTTTCATGTAAGACGCTGTCATACGCATTCCTTATCACTTTGAGCTGATGGAATAGCCTGTGTTCATATATCGTCCTCCACCGTCGCCAGACTACACGAGATACCGTCCAATTTCTGTGAGATGTTACAGTCTGGGCATGCTGTTTGCAGCGCTTTCTGCTAGTGCTTAATCCTCGCCAAATCTGCAAAACATTTCGAAGAAGAGACCACTGCCGCCGTTTTACTGCATGCATAATCATCTTTTTACGCGCTTGTTGTACTCTTACTAGTCTGATTCCGGTTAGGAAAGCGTCAAAGTGGCGTTCAAGTGCCCCGTACTTGCTAGTCTTGGCATTTTGCAGATTAAACTGTGCTTGAGCTTTCCATGCACCCCACGAAGCGCGTAAGAGTCGAATAAAGTAATGCTTAAACGCTTTCGTCGAGTTTTGCGTATACTTTCGCTTGGCCATGGAGAAATATTTCCAGTATGTCCAAAGTTTTCGAAGACGCCTACGGTTTACATATCGCTTCGCCAAATTCAGAGATCGCCTTGACGTGGCTTGTTCGGACGCGGTGAGTTGCCACGCACAAAAATAAGCGTTCTTTATGCCAAGCTTTGCTTTATGTACACCATTTTCAGCAGTTTGAACATGCCGACGCCACGTCACCCAACGTGTCCACATTCGTCGACGCAATCGAATATTGTGTACCTTATCAATGATTCTTAACTTGTGCCATTCTTGGAAGTGCAGGCGTTTCTGTCGAAATTGTATTCGAGTTTTGAATTGGGTTGCTCGGTGTTGGAGAAGTCGTGCTATCGAAAAAAGATATAATTTCCAATTCCAAAAAACAGTTTGTGCAGAAATGCGCCGTAAATCCTGCCACCGCAAATGTTGCATCCTTTCAAGCGCTCGCTTGATTCTGGTTGTGCGTTTCCATTCACGAAAACACGAACATTGACATTGGTTAGCGAAACGAACTTGCTGTTTTCTTGAAGCTACCCTTTTATTTTGTAAGAAAGCAGCTCCATAGATCCAAGCTTGAAACACTCGATTAAGAAACTGCGTCTCGCGAACTAATTGATTCCTCTTTGCAATCACAGTAATTCTAGTACAATTGATCCACTCAATGAAGATTGATTTTTGCAATTTACGCTGCCGCCTCCTCAAGCAATGTCTTACTTCCTGCTGCCTCCATACTTTACGTCTCCATTGCCAAAATCGATCATGCTGTACAATAAAGCAGCGTTTCCTTCGTATATGGCAAATTTGGTGTGACCAGTTGCAATAGTGGATCCATCGAACGAAATATCGCTTTAGGATCTTTGGTGTTGCTATGGATACTGTACGTTGAGCCATCTCGTCTTTGATTGTCTCACGCTCGTGCAATTGTTGAGCGAGTGTTTGTTGATATGAATGTAGTTTTCGCTGCACATTCGAAAGATTGTTTCGTAGGTCTAGCTCTCGCTGCTCCGACTGCATCAAAGCCCGTATATACTTTTCTTCTCGCTGCTCGAGTTCCTGAAAACGACCGTCATGAAGAGCTGTGACCGGCTCCAGGTGATCTGATTCATCTAACTGTTCATCGTAATTAAGATAAGGTCGCCGTGGTGACAGTATGGGCTCACTTCCACTAGCACATTGTGCATGAGCATGAGACTTTAATGATATCTTGGCAAGCGGTACACTTGTCTCATCGCTAGGCACACCCTCATTTCGTACAGGCGATATCGGTGCGCGGCTGCTCGCGCTGGTGCTTTTCAAATCCAGATTACTTGGGGTGCTGGGAGTTAGCTCGCCATCATTAAAGTCGGAGACAACGTCAGTATTGCAATAACTTAGGTTCAACTTGTGACCGCGTTTCTGCAACCGAGCCGAGCAATTTTGTCGTTCGCTAGGAAATTGCTCTGAACTAAGTCTCTGAGGCAATGAGATGTCGACTTGTTGCTGGCTGAAGTTCGTCCGGCGAATCTTGCACGGTTGTTGTAAGCCTCGCATTCTAGGTGCTGAGTCTCTCAGCTTGAAATCATGAATAGCCTCACCAAGAGATTTGTTCGCGAAATCTCCACCGCGAAGACTTGATCTGAGCTCTCTTGCAGGCGGTACTGATATCTCTAAATCGTGAAAATCTGAGTCCGCATACACTTGGTTATTCTTTTGCACGGATGATGCAGACAGACCGCTCAAATGTGAGTGCAGTGACTGCCTGTTTCTAGTTTCGGGATCTATCTGTTGAGGTGGAAGCTGACGATGATTGGAGTGCAAAGTATTCCTGTCATTGTGAGGGTACAAACGCTCACTAGAGCGTGAGTCTAACCACATACGCCCTTGATTTTGAGTTTTACTCCAAAACGGCTTCACTTCAGAGTCAACCTCGTTTTGCTCTCTTCTTCGACAGTCTGCTGTTTCGTTACGCTGTATTGGATCCGTAGCTAACAGCTCCTTTAGATAATTCACCATCTGACTGCGATTCTTTTCACAGATGGCTAGCAAATTTGCAGTAGTTTTTTGCTGCAATGTAATAACATTGGTGTAAGCTTCTTCCCATGAGAGACAGTGCTGCTTCAAGTCGTCCGAAAGCTGCGACAAAGACCCGCTCGCCAGCTTACGCAAGTAGTCCTTAGCCTTTTCTTTCGGATTCTCAGCTAATCTGGCGTGGGTTCGCATGACAATGGTAAGCATTTGTATCTCCAAAGACTCTTGTTCTTCTCTCGACATTGTATCTTCGTACTTCCACAAGCGCAACAACAGCGGAATATTGCACGCAACATCTTTTGGATTTGGTACACGGTCAAATTTTCCAGTAGCAATGCCCGCCATAACATACGCATAGAAAGATTTATGAAGAGAAATCAACTGTGCGATCCGTTGCAGCTTTTGAATGTTGAAATGGTTCTGCGTGACCATGGATCTGAGAGCGTGGTCCTGTGCTGCGATATCAGGTGCTAGAGCCCGCTCCTTCTTGGTGACATCTGCATTATCCAGCACTTGCAACTTTGTAAGTATTGCGATTGCTCGCAATCTGTAATTCGGCAGGTCACATACAGGATTTCCCATCAGGTTCAAATTTCGAAGCTGCGCGAGCTCAGTCAATCTCTCCACCTCCATGTCGGACGAAATCAAGTTTCCACCAATTGACAGAAGTCGCACTGCTGCAAATTGATCAATTCCTTCCAGGGATCGCAAGTTGTTTTGGCTTAGATACAGCGCCGTGATGGACGCGGATACTGTCGGGGGCACATAACCCAACAAGTGGATACCTTTACCAACCGCATTCAATCTCGCGCCATCACACAACCGCATTCCATGCTGCTTCAGAGCGTCAATCAGCGTCTTTTGTGCCTGCACAGATTTTTTTTGTCCTTTAAAAGCCGTGTCATGCTTGTTTTTCCAAAGCGATGAGCTTTTGCTCTGTTTATTGCCGATGATGGTGTCACGTTTCTCAATCGTAGTAGGCTGACGCGATGCAAATTGGTGACTGTAGCTATTACGTATAGAATGTTCAGTCATTGTGGCTTATCAGAATATCAGTAGAAGGCAGCGCAACATCCAGGAGCAGCACCACGGTGCTAATCTGTGACTTGTGTGCACCAAAAGGCGTACGTTAACGACACGACTCAGACTCAGCCTCAGATTTAGTTTATAGTCATCACTTTTATTAAGATGTTTAAGTACGAGCTATTTTTGCATCATCTCTAAAAGCAGCGTGACGTCTTCCACTTCTCGATTGATCTCCATCCTCCGTCGTCTTGGTTATCCCGGAGCAAAGTAGCATGGCTCGTCGTCTTACAAAAGTGAGTTCATTAGCACGCTTTTCGCCAAATATCCTCCTGTCTTTTACATTGATCTGATTACAGGAACTCGCCGAATTTGAAAGGAGCTCACCCGATTGGTGTACTGTCAGTGCCGTTGATGACGATCTTATGCACTGGAACGCTATGCTTGTTGGTCCCGTATGTATTCATCTCAGTCATTGTCGATGATCATTCGTTAAGTGCTAACATAGAGCTTCTGGTGTAGGAAAATTCACCATACTCTGGTGGTGTGTTTAACTTGGATCTGCAATTTCCTAGTGAATATCCCTTCAAGGCTCCAAAGGTGCGCTTTCTCACTCGGGTCTATCATCCTAATGTGAAGTCACAGTCTGGTGAAATTTGTGCTGATATTATCAATGAGGTGCGTTTCGTATGAGCAACAAGGTGAAGGAGAAACAGTGTCTGATCTTTTGATCTGCAGAATTGGGGACCGACGCTTAATGTGCTGCATTGCCTCACAGCTATCAAGCAGATACTGGAACAGCCAGACATGGACAGCCCATTAGAGCCGGACATCGCCAAGCAAATGCACGAGAGCAGGGCGGACTTTGAAAAGACGGCGGAGGACTGGACGAAGCAGTACGCGTCTTAATTTAAACAGTAGATAGAGAGTGCTACAATATATATAGTACTTCGAGATATATTACTTTGTATTTGAGTAAATTCATGCTTTCAACAAATTCTGGAATGAAAGTTCCAATCCTGATCGCTACGCTGTTAGGAGCGTTTACAGCGGTTTCTGAACACCATCGGAGAGTTGTAAAGCCAGCAACTGTTCTCTGGTATGCTCCTTTTCTTAGTGGCGGTGGCTACTGCAGCGAAGCGCACTCGTACGTAGTGGCGTTGAGCACTGCACAGGCAGCATCAGATGAGCCATCTAAAGACTCCAACAATCAAACCGAAAAATCATCAGCAAGAGATACAGACTTAGAATTACCGTCGCCTCAGCCATTTGAACTACTAATTTTGCAGCATGGCGATTCACTTAATCCGTCGTTCATCCGAGACTTGACAAAGGACATGGCGGCCAAGCTAAAGAAGCACTGGATTGACGAAAGCGAATTTTACTGGAGATACAAACATGATCAAGTTGATCTCGCTATTTGTCATTCAGAACCAGGAGCATGGGAACCTGCACGCTATACGACGTCGCGCTGTCCACCACGAAACGCACTCTACAAAGTCGGACGTACTATGTTTGAGACAGATCGAGTGCCACATGGATGGACTGATAGAATGAACAAGATGGATGAGATCTGGGTCCCCACAAAATTCCAGGAGAAAGTGTTTGTAAGTGGCGGAGTAAGACCTGAAGCTATCAAGGTCGTCCCAGAGGTTGTAGATGTAGAGTTTTTTGACCCTGACAAAGTGATGGAACCTTATGACCTGGCCAGTGACTTAGAATTTGCAATGACGACCAAGACGACAGTGTTCTTGTCTATTTTCAAATGGGAAGAGAGGAAAGCGTGGAAAGTGCTGCTTAAAGCATATGTGGAGACATTTACAGCAGTGGATGACGTTGTTCTTGTGCTGCTTACGAATGGTTACCACACGGCTTTGTCATCGGCTGATGATTTTAGAACTGTTATCAACAAATTCACAATTGAAGTGGCTGGAAATAAGATGAAAGAGCTACCGCACATTCACGTACTTCCATCTCACGTACCTCAAAAATCCTTGCCGTCATTGTATAAGGCTGCCAATGCTTTTGTCCTTCCTTCGCGTGGTGAAGGATGGGGTCGACCCCATGTTGAGGCGATGGCAATGGAGCTTCCTGTCATTGCTACTTTCTGGAGCGGCACAACGGCTTACATGACCGAAGAAAACTCGTACCCACTCAGAGTTTCCAGACTGATTGAGGTAACTTAACCTTAGGTGTCATTAAAAACTTTGCGACTCAACTTGCGACTGTATAGATTGAGGAGGGAGCATTTAAAGGTCATAAGTGGGCAGACCCATGTGTGGAACATCTCAAGGAGCTTCTTCTTCGAGTTAAGAACCATCCAAAGGTAAGATTTAACCAGGAATGTCTTGTCATAGCTTTCGTTCCTGGCGTGATGCTATCGTTTGATGTTTACGCTTGCAGGAAGCTGTTGCTAAGGGCAAACAAGCTCGTAAGGACATGGTTAAGAACTACTCATCAAATATTGTAGGAGAGATTGTTCTCGGTCATGTCAATCGAATTTTAGGGCAGGTTGCTGCACGAAAAGAAGCGGAATATGTAGCAAACCATGAAGAGCTGTAACGTGATGAATGTCAGTAGAATAGATCATTTTCGATTTCCCAAAACACTCAATCTATATGTCTATTGTCTGCATCATAATCCTCTTGCGACAACCAAGTACAATGCAACCAAAGAGCTTTTGCCGGTGCGGACGGACCAGCTTGGGCAACACCAGCAAGAACATTTTGCATTTGATATGGCGGCTGGGTTCCTTCGCCAATTGGCCGCAATGTCCCGATGATGCGCCTTACCATATGCCGCAAAAAGCCATTAGCAACAAGCTCGATGCAGACAAAGTATACCGGCGTGTCTTCTCGGCCTTTGCCGGTCTTCCTTATTTGTTCAATACAAGTTACATGTTGGCAATCGCCATGGCTTTCATCCAAGCTGCTGGGACTTTGCTTGCGGCGATTCAAATATTCAGAGTGAAGGACTTCGCCCCTTCCACACACCTTTGGATCCAGCGAAAATTTGACATTGCTTGAAGTACAAATTCAGTATCTTAGCCTGACTCGAAGCGAAACGAAAAATCGTACCATCGAATGACCACCTTAGCGGAAATCACAGTCCGTATTGTTGTCATATCCTCAAACTGCGGTTTTCGAAGTCCTTGCGAGAATGGTCTGAAATCGTGTGTTCCTTCTATATATCTGTCAACAGCCAATCTCAGTCTCAATCAAAGATCCCATATTTAGTTGACGAACTCACTTAAGTGCCTGATTAATTTGTTGAATGTCGAGTCGTCTACCAAGATACCACGAGTACTTTCCTTGGTCAAGATCTGGTCGATCACCTTGCTGCAAGTAGTAAATATACTTCTTGTAGCGAGATCGTATTCGCGTCGGACCATTTGACGGTATTGTTACGCCATGCACCACTACACGATCACTTTCCAGTCTATTGCAATACGTGGGTCAGTCATTCGTTTCACTACTACCAACCAATCTTCTTCCTCACTTCAAATTGATGCGATTTTTAAATTCGTCTAGTGTCATTTGCAGCTTCGAACTGAGTCGTATGAAACCATATTGCTAAAATGATGATTATTCAACACAGTAGCCAAATCAGACAATTCTTTTGATAATATATAATATCATACATATAGCGCGTGGGTGCCAGCGTCTGTGCGGCTGACTCCAGTGACGTTGACCCGATCAGAAGCCCCCAAAGTCTCTGTGACTGCATCTTCTACCACTTCCTGCACACTTTTCAACTCCACGCTTTTTTGTGTCTTCAGCTGCTGTCGTTGCCACCCGACAAATCCCGTCCCGTAATACGCAATGTGCAGGCAATATCGCCAGCTCAACGAACTCATTGATTAAGTACACTAATGAAACACAAATGTCGCAGTACTTTATTCAGGTTATTTTCTAATAAAATCCTTGATCGGTGGAATGGCCTTCTGCAAGCATGTGCACAATAATCCCGTTGCCATGGCGTACAGCCAAATCCAATGCTGTAGAACCTTCCTACATTTAAATTTAATGTGAGATTTGGCAAGAATTGTGTAAGAAGATTAAAATGCAAATCAGAGCACGTGCCAAGTTCTTGAACGTCTTGTCAATTCCATAACTTAATAGGATTCGTGCTATGTTGTCGTAACCAAAGAATGCTGCTTCATGTAGTGCGCTAAAGCCATCAGACTAATAGAGAACATTATTAATCTTAAAACACTGATAAATTTTTACTGCTGGCCTACGTCTCGTTGATTCACGTTTGCTCCTTCCTGCAGTAAAAACGTCACGCAGTCGTCTTTCCCTTTTTTTGCTGCAACCTGAAGTGCCGTATATCCCTCGCTCTGATTGTGATCAAAGAGAATTGAGTCACTTGCTAGTGAGTATCTTTTTAAAATTCGTGAAGATAACCACATTTGTATCGTTGATTCGTGCACCCTGCAAAAGCAGGTCCTCTAGCTCCTTGACGTCACCATTCGCAGCCGCTGCTAAAAGCAATATCCGTGTCAGTTTGTGCGCTCAATGCTGTGCTGGGATTCGAGTCTAAGGACCTGTAAATAAATTCCCGATCTTCACCACCGATCTCATCCTCACCAGACCAACCTAATCCTGTATAAAATATACTATTTTATTGTTCGTTCGGGAAAGGTCGTCAAAGATTGAAGTCCATAGTGCTCATGAGCTTGATCGACGCCGTCTTTTTCGACAAAAATTTTAATGTGCAGCGGTACATGCTGCGATATGTTGTCGGTGCGGCAACAGACGAGCTCCGCCACCAGCAGCTTTTAAAGGTGAAAAAGTATCGCACCATGGCCGACAATCAAATTGATGGAGTCATCGACCAAAGTTTTGTCAATTTTAACACCAGTCTCGCTCACTTTACCGCCATCTCGAATCAACTTCAAGGTATGAAAAACTAAACCGTTTACTTTTTTAATTTGCTCATTCATCTCTATATTGTCAGACACCCGGGATAAGTTGCTAGAAGTCCAGAAACGAGCGACTGACGGACGAACGATTTTGGGCTCTAAAGCTAAGAATTTACGCGAATTGTTGCTTCAGAAATATGAGGCCAAAAAGGTGATCGCTATAATCAATGACATCGAATGCATTGAGACTGCGCCGGGAAAAATCAACATGTTAATGCATCAACAAAAGTTTTTGGAGGCGGTTGAGACGTTTGCAGATGCACTAGGTTTGGTTTTTAGTGAACAGCTCGTAGCTTTTCACGCTGCGACTGGACTGCGCAACGACCTCATGGAATGCAAGCAAACAATCGAAGACCGACTGGTCCATGAGCTTCAGCAAGCGATCTATCTCAAGAGGGCTTTTGCCAACATCGCATCACGTACAAATCAATACTCATTGGCGGCGATCGAACATGAGCTAAAGAACGAGGCATATCTCGACCATGAATTCGATACGCTTATGTTGCAAGTGTCCAATGAAAATGTTACTGGTGGACAAAGTCGATCAAGTTGTGTTGCTGTCACTCCTCTGCCAACAATTAACGCAATACAGACTGTTATCGGTGCCGTGAAAAAGTAAGTCTACTGCGAGAAAAACTGTGGCTTAAGAGTACTAGACTTCATGGCAATTAATATTGTGTCTTTGTGAGCAGATTGCATCGTGAACGAGAAGTGATTGGCACGTTAAAGAATTCCATTCAGCCTGAGCTCGATGTCGTGGTAGCAGAGATCACGCGTCTTTGCAGAGGTATTTTCAACAGTAGCAATAGCACTTCGTTCGCAGATGCATTTACCGAAGCAGCTTTTGGCATCTATGACCACTCTAGAGATTTTAAAATATTTCTGCGTCTACTCTTTACCGCATTACGTCGTGTTGCCCAGCGACACTATCTTGTCGCTAAATACTTCGAAGTTGATGGTGAAAAGTGGGACTACGGCATGCTTGAGGTGCTTTCTAAAATTTCTGGCGTTCTCGAGGTAATGTGAAGAAATTGTATGGGCTTCTTTGCAGGAATAGTGCGCTCAAACTTTGTCTTTTGTAGTGTATTGTATGCGAATATCTTGATGAGACCTCGTTTCACAACCCAGCGCTCAAACCATCGACAGTTTCTTCCAGTGACACGGAAAGACTTTTCATGTTGAGTCGTAACAAACAAGCAACTCAACAAAAGCTAAGTGAGGCCAGCTCTTTGACAGCAAAACGCTGTCGCCTTGTATGTGACCCAAGTGTCTTTCACTTGCCCGAGGCGTATGAGGAATTGGATCGCATTAGCAAAGATCTCCATCAACTTTTTCATGCCAGCTCCGTAAAGTCACTGTCGCGATCATTTTCTGGATTTACAGCTTTTCTAAGCAGCTTTATTGTTCAAAAGTGGATTCCACAGGTCAAAACAAAGGCGCAGCAATTTTTAGCCGCGAAAGCGCGAGCTACTACGCCAACTTGCCACCTTCCTATTCCATCGGACACTAGCTACCAACCGCCTAGTATCGATAGTTTGCTTCATGTGATTGAAAATGTTCGCATAATGATGACCAAGATGCCACTTCACGCATCTGACCTCTCCAGTGTCCTCGAGACCTCCATCTCAAGCTGGCTAGAAGAATGCGCTGAAATTGTTCGAGATATTCGAGAACAGACGATAAACTACCAACAGTTGCAGAATCAAAATGCTACTTATGCTGACTTAGCTGCTCTTTTTCACGAGTACGAAGGATATCAACGGGCAAAACAAGGCAGTCCAATTCCACATTATCATTCCAAAGTACTACCAACCCAATTGACAATTAATGCAATTACTGGGAATCAATCAAGTACTGAAGAACGGATAGCGGCTAGAGAAATAGAGCTTGAGAGTGATCTTTACGATCCCGATTTTTGGATGCAAGGCACAAAGGGCTTACTTATGGACAATGCGCGCGTCGGTATGCTAGGTTATGCTAACAGCGCATGCGATCTTATTGCTATCTATCTCCAACGTATAGGACGAGGTCCGGAAGCAACAGATAAATCGCAGACAACCCCAATCCTGACCTCACCAGCACTATCAATGGCACTTCAAACTGCGAGCTGGCAGTGCAGCGCTCTAGCTGACGAATGTCTTGTATTCCTGCGTCGCGAGGTGCGTCTGCACTGCTGCTATTATCTTAAGCAGCTCGTTTCGCTGCGATTCGATATGGAAGAAGGTTACTCGACCATGGCCCAAGAAAGCGTCTTAACACTCAACCTGAATTTGTCTTCGATTGAGACTGTATTGCAGCCGTACTTGTCGAGTGACAAGATGACCATGATATTTGATGGAGTAGAACAGCTGCTGTCTCGTCTATTAATCGGCAACCTTGCTCAAATGACGAACTGCACGTTTACTCGAGGAGGAGTTCAGCAGATGCTGCTCAATATTGGGGCTCTTCGCCAAGGTCTGACCGGTACTTTATACTCGTATCCCCGTGGCGCGTCATTATCAACTGCATTATCGATATCTTCGCGTTTAGAACATGCTAAGCGATACTATCAGTTACTCAATCTGTCTGAAACACAGCTTGAGATGTTCCTCTTGGCAAATCGTGCTGCGTACTCACACGAGGATTTTCGAGCTCTATGGCACGTGCATGCTCCGCACCGTCTCCTCACAAAGGGAAGCGTGAATAAACTTGATAGCATTTTGAGGTAAGGATTTCCTTGCAGAAAAGTAAATGCAACTTTATCTCCAAATGCATAACTCATTCAACATATTTCTTGGAGCCTTTAAACTTGTCATCGTTGGAATAAAAAGTCCCAGTCTTGTGTATCAGTATGCGAAGCAGGAATTTCGGTGGAGGGAAACAATGTTCTACTGGTTCCACAAGGTCTTGCCACTCGCGTAGAAACAGCAGCAGTGACCGGGTTAAAAACCTCGCGGCTACTAAGAAAGTCGGGCAACGGTGGGAGCGAACGATGAGCTGGTGGTAATACGATTGGTGTACGCGGTGGTTGTTGTTGCTGTTGGCCCAATGGCAATCCCGCGAGCGGTCTAGTTGGTAGTGGCAAGCTGACGGACGGCACTATCGGCGTGGGATGAGGCGGTCTGGTAGCAGCTGCTACGACGGCACAAGCAACAGTAGGCAAATTTGTGGTCGCACTTCCCTTTAATCCGCTTGTCGTTGACATTGGACCAGGGATTGAAAAAAGCGCCGGTGGCGAAAGTGCATGTAGCAATGATGACGCTGCCGGTCTTGTCACTTGCTGCAAATGAGGCAACGACGGAATCCGTTCATGTTGAAAATTCCTCGATCTCTCAATAGGAGGCGGAGGCAAAGTCACTTGAAAAATAAAAATATCGCCAAATGGTAATTTGCTTTGCATTTCTCTCTGCCTCTGCTGCTCTTGATGCTGTCGCAATGTTGGTAGCTCTGGCAGACGATCTTTTTCAATAACTGAAGGCTGCAACAACGGCTTTAAGATTTGTTGTTGTTGATGCTGTTGCTCAGCTTCCCTCCGTCGGCATCGAATACGTAGCCTTGCGCGCTCCCGCATAACCTCGCGTGCGCCATTGTCTAGCGTCCTTCGACGCTTGCGTTGACGTTCACACTGTTTTTGACGAGTTTCTGCCCTATCTCTGTCGCTAAGTTTGTGGCGCCATAACTGCTGCCGCCGCCGATTTTGGGCACGTAAGCGTTCACGGGCCTCGTCGTCTAAGAGCGAACGACGTTCACGCTGCCGTTGTGTATTTCGCTCGCGCTGAAGCTTTGCTATGGGGTCGGATGCTTTATTTAGAGAGCGAAAGTAGCGGTATTTAGCAGCTCGTCTATTAGTGAGTCGACGTCGTCGCTGATCAGCTAATTCGCGTGGAGGCGAAGCGTATTGCCGACGGATGCTTGGTGGCGTCTCCATTTTTGGAGTCGTGGAGTAAGAAATTCTGAAAAATTTTGGACATGAAAAATATTTGTCGAATTGTTGACGCTTGTCACAGCTAAAAAGATAGGATCAGCGCTTGCGACAGCAGCAATTTTTTAATATTTTACTGAAGCGTGTTTGATTGCAGTAGTCAATTTATAGAACGTTTGGCTCGTAACATGACAAAACTGAATTGCAGTCACTGCATCTGACATCCATGCCGGAAATGAAAACAAAAGCTACAAGTTGCACCAGACATACAAAAGCAGATATGATTCACTCTAATATTACCTCTTGCAACATTCATGAGAATTTTATCAGTACGATTATGCTGTATCGTACCAATCATGCGTAATGACTTTGCAATCATAATGCAATTAATCCTTTTTTAGCATTAAATCGTCAGAAGGCTGTCATGTGCACGGGCACCTCTCGATATTTTCCGCATAGTAAATGTTCAATAATGTGTCTCCATTTCTGTTGTCACTTGCTGCTGTCGTGCATTCAGCTGAAAAGTCGATTTAATGCTCAGCTATAAATTGTTCAAAAGGTGCCTGCTAGCACTGAACAGTATACAAGATTCTGATGCTGCTGTCAATTTGTCCTTGATCGTCAGTGAATAGCTAATTACCTTTGCGTGCGGTCGTTCCGCGACATATTACCTACAATTGACCTGATTTTTTTCGTTACAATGTATCAATTTTCAGAATTATAAACCTCGAGTTTGGCTCGAAATTCATTGATGATTTTGCTTAAAACAATTTATTATACTAACAACCATCACAAATCATACCGGCTGTACTTGAAGCAGCGGCGGTCAATTAAAATTTTGCGCTCCATGTGGACTACCAAATGCTGGCAAGAGTGTTAAAAAGTATCACAGTCAGTTCTTGCATTGGGTGAGAGCGACGGGTCGTCCTACCTTGTCTAATCTTGCTTCTCTAAGCTAATGATTTTGTGACGCGTCCATGACCATTACCAATCGAATAGTCTGATTTGTCAACCCTTGCTCGTCCAGCACACTCTTCAGCGGATGCTCTTACGTGACCTATTCTCGTGATCTTTCTCCGCTTTGGCGGCTCGTTGGGGCGCTTGCAGAAGATTCATTATTCATCGAAGCAGATATCCCACAAGAGTGCCATTTTCATAACTTGTGCAGCGGGACTGCCGTAGCTTTGCGCTTGAGGAAGCGAAAGTTAGGTCACCGACATTTCGTTCTTTACAAGAACCAATAGGAGTGTAACGGATCGCAATCCGCTACCTCCAAGAGTAGTTAGTACCTTACATAAGCCTAATAAGCTCTTCGCTTTAAATTCAAAACTGATTTTTATTTAGGGAGAATAAAAAAAATGCCCCAACTTTTGCCATATATAAAAAATATCCCAGTAATTAAAAAAAAATACCCCAGCACGTAAATTATCACCGGGGAGCCGTAATATTACACAACA